GGGAGAGAGAGAGAGAGAGAGAGAGAGAGAGAGAGACCTTTAAGGGAAAAAAACGCATCACGGAAAACAAGTCAAATATCAAAACAAAAGCAAAAATGACAACAACAAACAAAACAAAACAAATTTTTTTAAACCAATCCTCCCCTCCCTCTCCTCCCCCTCACATTGCGGTAAATAATCAGAAAAAAACCCACAACTAATTCACATTTAATAGTAATAATTATTACTCTCATTAACATATTGCGTCATCATGATGAAATAAGGAGCTCGTCAAAATATTCAAATCAAAGAAACTTGCATTTTTCTAGCGTTTGGGCAATTTTGTAACATTTTCTTTTATTGGCTGAAAACCTTTAACGTCCAATCACAATCATATCATTTCTGAGTGGGTTTTTACTCAAAAACGTTGATCAAAGGCACAAAACTCCCGTAAATTTGCAGTTTCCAAAGACACTCAAGCTAGGGACGTCATCAAGCTTTGAAGGCCTTTTTCTCGCTAATTCTTTCTCTGACACCAGGCGACTTCGCTCATAATTAATATCTCGGCTACTATTCAAAATAGATGTGTATCTTTATATCAAAAGCAGGACAAATGAACGAACTTTAAGCTGATAACAATGACTCCTTATACCCAAAAACTGAAGAGCGTCTGATTCCATCGCAACGCAATATATGAAAAAGTAAAGTTGTCCCATATACCTCACAATAAACTACAGGTGCCCCCCCCCCCTCTACAGGGCAGTGCAACTGACTGAAGTGTCTTTAGGCCATTCCTAAAGGAGGTGTATTAACATGTTCTTATGCACAGTAGAATTGCAAATGGGCTGACGTATCAATGTCATGCTCATACTGTGCCGGAGAAACATAGGGGGAACTGCTGCTTTTTCTTTTCTCATCCTTACCCTCATCATTTTTCCTCTACTTCTTTTGTATGTTTGTCACTCTCTTGTGAACTGCTATTTCCGGGATGCCTTGAGGCAAGAGAGGTGAGCAGAGTACGCCTGATTCCCCGTTTGGACTTCTTTGTTTGTTTGTTTTAGTAGAGGTTTTACGGCGCTCGCATCTGCATAAGGTCATATAAGCGCCAGAAGATTAGAGGTGTTACAAGAGAGTAACAAACATAAAAAAGAAGGAGGGGAGATAAGGACGATAGATGTTTGATAGGAAAGAAGAAGCAAACCACACCAGAGCACCCGCCAACCACCCACCTGGACGTCCTTGTTGACATCCACTCCTTGGCCCTCATATGACCTTACGCAGTTGCGAGCGCCGTAAAACCTTATTAAAACTTTTTTAAAAACTACAGGTGACGCTGAGTCCGGAGGAAATGGCCATCGCGGATGAAGACAGTGAGGTGAAAATAGTGCATCTAGTCCAGCTGCTCAAGTGGAAGTACCAGAAGCAGGGCAGTCGACCGCGGGAGTTCGCCAACGTCAGCGTGGAGGAACCCATGCCCTGCAAGTGCCACGCCAGAGGGACTGGGATACGCGCTGGCATCGTCGGTCAGTACTAACTTCTACTACTGTGACTACTACCGAACTGCTTACTTACTTACTTCTACCCATTACGCCATCTGGCGTTTAGGGCAGCAACAAAGGATCTCCAGCTCTGTCTGTTTTAGGCCATCTTGGTCAGCAATCCCCACGAATGATTCCAGGACTTCATTTCCGACTCTACTGTGCGTCTCCAGGTTACTTTGGGTCTGCCCCTCTTGCGATGTCCTTCGGGTGTCCAGTTGAGGGTAGTCTTCACAATAGTCTGGTTCTCTTCTCAGAACATGTCCAATCCATCTCCATCTTCTCCTTTTTATTATGGTGGTCATGTCCTCTTGCTTAGGAAATCTTGTCGGGCCAGAAGATTCTGACTGCTATTCTACTACTATTGCTACTTACTTTACTTTTTCATCCTCCTGTGCCGTTAAGCGTCGAGGGGAGAAGCAGTTTTCTATGGTAGCCAAGCTCCGCAGTTCTTTCAGTTGTGATGTTATGTTTTCTTAGGGTTTCCTTGACCCCCTCGATCCACCTTTTGCTTGGCCTTCCTCTTCCTTTATATAGTCTGACTATTACTACTACCTCTAATACCTAGTGCCCACTGACACGATCGGTTCGATTCGGTTCTATTCGGTTCTATTCGGTTCGATTCGGTTCGGTTTGCTAGCCAGATTGAGGGCAGGAAGTGGCTATCGTGTCAAAAACCGATCGCCCGACTCGTCGCCCCAAATACTTACGTGTTTGTTTTCAGGCGACAAGTCGGGCGATCGTTTGGCGATCAGTTTTTCGATCCCCCAATGGGCAGTCGTATACTACTACTACTACCACTACCA